TATGAGAAATTATGAGACAATCCTATTTAAATATATATACCAAGTATGCAGGATGTGACTGTCATGCAGCAGTGGTGTATTAGAACACTCTATACTCAAAGCACACAAGCAATGTTCCTCAGCTGTGTCCACTGTAAGTTAATTTGCTACCACCCTCACTCAGCGACCCAAAATGACAACGCAACCACTACTAAGAATTTTCTGGGGGAAGTGATTCACAGCACTGGGAGGGCACTGGCAAGTCTCATACCAGAAATTATATATGTGACTGAACAATGACAATTATTGACCCTGGACTCCTGGGCCTGTCCATCACAAAGGAATGCAAAAGGTTGCTCTTACTATGAGCCTCTAATTAGGAGAACTAGAAGAATGGAGTGAATAGTACCATTAACTATTTTTTTTAGTAGAAAGTGGACTGGAATATTGCCAGGTCTTGTTGTGCATAGGCACGGAAGCATCATTTACACGTGGCTTTATCGTGTTATTGTTTATTACTGAACAGACAATTTTGTGAGAAGTCGAACTGTGGCACCATGGAGAGCTGTTTCCAGTGAACATCTCCTGGGCATATGTTTGGGAAGCGCTGTTTTGTTTCTGTCAGCTGCAATGTTCTGAAATAGGGGATGGTTCATGTTGCCTTCCCCAGAGGCATTGAGGAAGAAATGAAGAGATGGCCATCGGGGAGCTCCTCCTTCATTCCTGAAAATTGTCTTTTGTCCCTGTATATTTCTGCTCCTAAGTCCTCACCCTAGAGCTTATAGCATCCCTGGGGTTATGTAGGCCATATTAATCATAATGTGGCTGATTGAGGAGGATCAGGTAGCTGAATCTAGGCTCCTTTGAAGGACCAGGTGGGCTCATAAATAGTCATTATTGATAAGTAATGACTTACTCACTGTGGAAAGCAGATGTTTCTGTACCATTCAGGTTTCCTCTTGAATGCACTTGAAAATGATTGGTAATGTCTTCTGATTTGCCACTTGTCTTTGTTTTTAATATCAAGAAAGAACATAGATTGAGGCGATTGCCTTGGTACCAGCTTGGTGGTAAAGGGTATGAAGTTATTAAAACTTAGAGCCACGTTGCTTCTGCAACTACATTTTCTTGTGTTCAAAAGGCTTATAAAAGGTGCCAAAAATGTGGCAAGAAAGCAACTCCAAAACTGTGACAGGAAATCAACCCTGAAAAAAAGTTCCGTTTGCAAAAATTTGTATTTATTTTCACAATAGATCTTGATGGCAATGCCTGCCAAACCAAGCAGGCCTTAGCGCACACTACTACTTCCAATTACACTAATGAGAAGAGAAAGGAGTGACATATTGCAACCTGGAAGTATGCATAGCCGTGTGGCAGATGCTTCACACGTAATCCACATAACAGGCTTCGGGGACAGCCATTTGCCCCTCCCTCTCATCACATGCCCTTTTATAAGTAAACTGCAAAGGTCATGCAGTTTTATTATTTTTAATAAATTAGAGGTGGTATTTTATTGTACTGTGCTAAAAACCCATGCATGATCATCCTACTGAACTAATTAAATTCACTAATAATGACAGGTCATTTTTTATGGGAAAATGTCCACACAGTCTCCCCATTTTCATCTATCTCATATATATATATATATATATATATATATATATGTGTGTGTGTGTGTGTGTGTATGTATATATATATATGTATGTATGTATGTATATATATATATTTAACTTAGAAAATACAATTATGTAGGAATGATAGAATGGCTCAGTTTGTAGAGCATTTGCCTTAATCACTAGCACCCACATTTAAAAAAGTAACAACAGGCATAATGGTATGTATCTGTACCACAGTGTGTGGGAGTAAGATCTCTGAAGGACACTGTCTAGCCAGTCTAGCCCAATGGGTAAGCTTCAAGCCACTGAGAGGCTCTGTGTCAGAGAGAATAGCTGAGGCTGTCTTCCAGCTTCTACACTGTGTATACAAACCTGCAAACACACATATGCACACACACACATATTAGTAAAAGAGAAAGCCAACTACTGCAGTGTTCATCACATGAACCATATTATTTCATTATAATAGTCCTTTGAAGAATGGGAAAGTGGTAAAATAATGGCTTCAGAATAGTTAAGTAAGTTGCCACAAGCTCTTGGTGTGGGGATAGGGGAGATGACGTGAAGCTAATGTGTTTTTCCTTCACGTCTTTCCTCCTGTAGACACGTGAACCACAGGAGTTTATTTTCATGGCATCTGCTATGATCGATTCAAGCCTGGGCAACTATATGGGTATTTGCCACAAGGCTTCCGTGACTTCTAATGAACTGCAACGAAGCAGTTAGCCATGGATTATAATGCCACTGTGGTCCCATGACAAATGACAAGGAAATGATGATAATGAAGTTTTATTACTGCGAATAAAGCGACTGCATCTGAGGTCTAGCACAGTCACATTTACCACTGTGAGAAGCAAAGAGAAACAGTCTGCGGATAGGGTCTACACTGCATTTGACAATGTGCTGACAGGACTAGGATCCTTTGAATGTCCCGACTCTAATGGCAAATGTGTGGCACCTAAGATAAGGACCAAATATTTATTCTGGCAGAGATCAAATCTTTTCTTGTCCTGAATCTATTATAGATCTTGCAGAAAATCTGCCCAAGAATATATCTTGCCCATCAACGAACTCCATGAGCCAGAACTGCCCTTTGCCCCCACTGTCATTGAAAGCTGCCGAGCGCTGAGGTCTCCATTCCCTTTAGAACGCTAACACTGTTCTCAAGCCATGATTAATTAGTGACTCACAGCTGAGCTGAATCACTAGCAGGCTTTTCCATGCATACGGGATTGATGTAGTAGTTTCTCAAAGGAAGATCCGCAACTCAATAAACAGCCCACGCATGGAGGGTGGGCAGAGGAGCAATGGCTTCTGAAGTTATGGCTTTTTAACTCCTCCAGTTCTGCCATCCTGTAAATATGTGCTGATTCAGGCTTTTATACCCTTGCTTGTTTCCCTATGAGGGCATGAACACCCACCTACCCGTTCTTTCCCACATCATTAAAGAAATGAATAATGAACGCCACCTCTCCAAGACAGAACAAATGCGTTATTTTCTTGCCAGATTCCCTGAGGATCAGAGAAAAAAAGTTGAATTCTAACATAATATGATTCATTATGACCATGAACACTGTAAGAAAGACACTATCATAGTGACCATTACATCAATAATTCCCAGGGCTAGGTACGTTCTTTAAATAGAGAGATGAAACAAATCAAAGCAAATCCCAGATCACACTGATACCAATCAACAGAAATGAGTCTGTTTAGTCGCCATGTGGGAAGGCACTGGAACACTTTTCTCAAGGTTTACAGACTTAGAAATGCAGGAAATTGTTTTCGTCGTGCAACAAACTCTGTGGGCACAAAAGAAGCAATAATGTCTACCCCAGGTCTGCTCTTCTGAGTCCTGACAACATATTCATCAGTCCATCTATATTACCCCCTTCTAAAACCAAGACCCTTGGGTGCTGGTCATTTACTTAATCAGGTGTGAGATGTATCTTCATAGGAAGGGACAAAAAAATAAATAAATGGTAAGTTGAAGAAAGCATGCCTCATTGGAAACTACATTAATTGCACCAAAATATATGGAAACCAGTATCCATTCTGCAAGAAATCTTAATGTATAGGTATACTAAGTGCTTAAGAATACATTTATGTATTGAGTGAATGAATTAAAGAGTGAATGAAGGAATATTAAATCTGAGCATCTATAAAAATTTCCTAGAACTTAAGTAGTGTGAATTCTGTTCTTTAACTATACTATTTTTCATTTCTCCCCCCTTCCACTCCTCGAACAAAAGAATAGTGAATAAAAAAAGCTGATGAAGAAATCCTGTGACTCAGATTTGTAAATATCAGAATGACAACTAAATTTTATTACTACCAAGCGCCCAGCCTAGTTCCAATAAGCCAGACAACTAGAAAGACGGAGAAAAAATATTCACCCTTCTCTTTTACTTTGTCCATGCTGATACTCTCCCGAGCAGACTTGTTCTTCCAGGAGGTTGAAAGAAGTTGATTGTATCTGACCAGGAAGGCCACTTTCATTTTGTTTCATTGTGAATACCAATTCCAACTCTTAGTCATAACCAATTATTAGGCTGTAAGAAAAAGAGTTATAATAGCATTGTGACGTATAGTTCAGCATTTCCGGGCATTTTTTCTGGAGGTGGATGATCTCATCTCCATCCCCATCATCTCCATCATCTTTCTATTCATTGCCACAATGTCTGTCTTCTAGAATCCATTGCAATTTCTCTGCCTCCAAAGTCAGTTTGAACTACCAATGGTACCTTCTGCTGTGTAGCGAAAGCTCCAGAATATATTTTATCTCTAGATTAACTGAACAATAGGGCTAGAAATCTGGGAAGATTGATAGTCACCAGTTCTGAAAACTCCTGCACAATTTCATTGCCCATTGTGAAAAATACCTTTTGAGTGTGAGTTGGAGCCCCAAAAAGCATCAAGGACCTGGTCTATGATATCAATTTCTCAGACATTGGATTCTAAGATTTTGGTACCCCTCCCCTTTACCTTGAATATTCCAAAATGGGAAGGCAGGCTCATAGTTTCTCTTTAATCCTGAATCTTAATTGTGAAATAATTCTACTAACTTCTTTTAAAAGACAGACCCAATCCCTCTCTCAGAAATGATGTTCACCGTAGAGGGCTTCACTCTCGAGATTTCTGTCACACTAACATCAGTATTCACCGACGGTCATTGAATGCTGTAACTTGTACTGCTCAGGCAGTGAGAACAATTTGGGTGGCTTTATACTATTTTTTTTTTATGTTCAGGATGAAAGCCCATGGAGAAATATAGGATACTATTATTAGCTTCATACTGACAGCTCCCTCCGGCAACCTACAAGTTTATTGCTATTTGGAGGATCAACTTTAAAGGGAGTAAACCCTGCAGTCAGTGACAATCATGCCCTTTGTATTTCTTTATTACAGGAACAAGGGAAAATTGGAGTTGTCTTCAATATCGGCACCGTGGACATCTCCATCAAAGAAGAGAGGACCCCTGTCAATGACGGCAAATACCACGTGGTGCGCTTTACCAGAAATGGCGGCAATGCCACACTTCAGGTGGACAACTGGCCAGTGAATGAACATTATCCTACAGGTAACATCTTCTCGTTTGGCCTCCCCAAATCACCTCTGATACTATGACAGCCATGACATCTTTTCTCATGACTGATGCCAGTTTATAGGCAAAGAATATGTCAATGCCTTTTGTCTGAGAAAGAAAGTTTGTTTGTTTTTTTTTAAGATTAGAACAGTGTAAGTGGCTTCTGGAGACTTACTGACTATGCACTGAACATTTTGATTTGCAAATGATTTGATAAAGCAATGCTGCCTGACTGGTTCATATTGAAGGTAAATATTATAAGGTTTCTAGTGGAAGAAAGGGACATCACCCTTGTTTTGGGGGATTGTTGATAATCATAAGATAATGGATGAGATATCCGGTCTATGTGGTGCTATATTGTTAGGTGTGATTGCAGGGACAGATGGCAAGAGGTGGCAGAGAGAATAGAGCAGCAAGTTTATTAAACTTGAATTCATGAGCATTAACTCAGGGGAGCAATGAGAAGAATCAAGAGTAGAGATTTTTATTTATTTGAATTTGCCAAGTGATTTTCTCTTGCTCACACTAAGCCTGTGTTGCTCTTTAGAGTCTGGTCCTAGCAGTGATTTTCCTAGGAAGCACGCTGGCATGGGAGACAGAGGGGCTAATCATGCATTTGAATTTCACAGCCCTGGTGTGTGCAGCAGCAAAATCCCAGAACCAGATGGCAAACCAAGGGCAGGGAGAGAGAAGGTTGCTTCTTTAGAGAAACTCATTCAAATAGTCCCTTAGCTTCCTCTCTCATCGTTCCAGTCTCCTACCAAGAGTCCTGAGCCCTGGCCATGAAAATCCTAAAAAGAGAAGGGAGAATACCCAGTGAGAAGCTTTCCCTCCATAATTGTGTTGCAACCTAATGGACAGATGACAGAAAATAGCTTAGGAGATGGCCCTTTTCACTAATGTGAACAAGATGCATGTCTAACTCACTGTATGATGCTCTGACTTCCCCCATTTTTGTCTGTTTTCTCTTGCTTCTTCAACACCAAGATGAGCACACTGATAATGAAGCTTAAATTACATTTTCAGGACTCTGGGCATTTTAGTTAAAAATTATCAGGCCTGAAAGAAATATTCACCATAAACTTGTATACTTTCGGCCCAAGATAGTTTTCTCAGTAGCTTAAAGGCAACGATTGAGGTTTCATGCTTTAAATCAGTGTTACATTTTAAAAGCCGATCAATAGTGTGTGCTGCTTGGATCTTCTTTAATATTCAGATTCTCCTCATTCCTGGTTTAAGAGTTATGGAAGCAATTGTCCCAAGGCACCGAAGCAATAAACACACTAATTAATCAATTACCCTATCTACTCCTATATCTGTCATCCTGGATTTTCCCCAACAGCCAGCTCAGCCAGTGATGGAGTTCTGGTAGGATTTTTTTAGATTGTCACAAAAATTAACCACTGGGAAGTTATCTTTGATCATCTGAAAGAGCCAGAGGTGCTAGGAGTTGCTGCAACTTTTTGTCAACACCCACATTCCCTGGACACGAATAGACTTTATTTTCAAATGTTTCTTGCTTAAACCCTGGGGTATGTGATAGTCAAAAGAGGAGGGAAGAGGAAGTGAAATACCAGAGACCTTAAAAGCTGTTCATTTATTTGCTCATAGAAAAAAGAAAATCCATCTTCCTTTCTCTATGCATATTACCATTGACACTAAAATTGCTGCTGTGAGGTTCGTTGTGTCTCTGGGAAGAACTTCAAAGATTCCTCAGTTGATGTTAACTCCTTGCTCAGAGTCAATGGAGACTCCTCACATGTGTGGCCAGCAATGAGAAAGCACTGGGGTGGTCATTTTAAAGTCACAGATACCTAAGAACACCGGTGACCCTTGGTGCACACCTCTCCCTTTGTGTCGTTAGTTCTAAATTATGGGTTGCCTCCCACAGGCTTTCAGAGCAGGATAAACCTGTCTTTAATGGCAGAACTTGCCCTGACGACTGTTAGCATCACTGGTAACTCTCATGCAGCTGTAATAAATGCTATTATTGTTGTCAGGGTATAGCCTTGCAGTTAGCAGTATGTGCCTTAGAGACACCTGATGAGTTGAGAACTTTTTCTTTTTTATCAGTTGTATGTCTCAGGCAACTGGATTAAGACCTTGAAATGCCCTAAGTATTAAAATATTTGGTGCCTTTCCCCACATATAATTCAAGATAAAAATAACAGTGAACCATGAAATAAGGGTAAGAATTTCTAACAGTTCTGATTTTTCTCCTCTGATGATTACTTTAGTGTTGGGAATGCATCAGATTCCTTCTTCAGAACTGCTCATTTATTTCCCCTTGTATTTATTTTGCTGGTTATCTAGTTCCAGACTTTCCATGAGGCACTGAGACTCACCACCCATCTGGTTTGCAATCCTGATGTATAGATGTAACGATACTTTCAGAGTCATTGGCAGGTTCAGTTAGAAGAACACATGTGAAATCTCAACGAAAGCTAGATGATAATGTAAGCAGATAATAAATGATAGCTACATTACTAGACATGCACACTTTACACATGATTCATTTTGACTATTTGCTAGCCTATGAGTTGGGGAAACTAGATATTTCTATTCTCCAGTTCAAATCAAAATAATACACTCTGGCAGGTTCTGTTGCCAGCCTATGATTACATAGTAACTGAAGAACAAAATGAAGACAAGGTTACCCTCTTCCCAATTAGATCCTGTATTTTTTTTAATCTTGACCCCAAAGTGATGATGAGATGATTTTAACAGTGCATAACCATAAATGTGAATTGCCCTAGATCAATTTATTTCTTTACAGCCATATTATATTTCAAAAGTCTTATAAGACTTCCTAACAGTCTCATGGACCTTGATTATCTTAATTTCCGTCTTATGAGATTGAAAGAATGCATTTAACTAAACGTAAGGAATCATTACCACAATATTAAAAAGTTTAGTTTATTTTGAACTTGGAACCACAATGGTCTCTGTTTCCAAGAAAGGAGCACAGCACCAATCTATCTAATCTTGACATAATTTCTCCAAAAAAAAATAATAAATTGACATGTCCTCCTTTTCCCCAAATCATTATGTTATATTGACAATAGCAAATGACTAGCAACTATCAAGAAAGTTCAGGAGCATCTCACCATAAAGATCAGTTTTAGTAGCCACACAAAGGTAGTTGTCAAGAAAAGTGGGGGAGAACATTTACATTTAAGGAAGAAAACAAGTATTAACACAGTGAGCCCAAGTTGTCCTCCCCATGACAGCAGAGTGCTCTCATGGGCCATTGAGAGTAATGTGTACTTTAAGGGGGCAGTTCTTTCATATAGAGTAGCTCCTCCCAATTAGTCACTGCAGTTGCTTCATTCCAAGGGCACACTCTCGTGAGTCACTCTTGCTCAGCACATCCAAAGGGACCAACTGAAAATCAGGATGAATGGGTCATCTCCTGAATCTTTCCACAGCCATTTATAGGCGTTTGCTTGGCCTTGCGGAAACATCCTACTGTGAAATATTGAGAGCCCAGTTGGGGCCAGAACATGCAGCCTTGGTTCTTTGTGAATCAGTGAGTAGCCAAGATGGAAATAGTTCTATAGCAATTGGGATCTTCTATCACTTGATTCTGGGGGATTGAACTCAAAAATGACTTCTTCCTTTGAACCTGAAAAGAGAAAGGCTAAGGAAGAGGAGAGGGAAATAAAAAGAGAATCAGCTCGGAGCTATCATCCAGGCACTGACAAATACGCCATATAAAGCCTCTGATTGCTCTCTCTACACAATGCCTTGGTAAGGACAAGGGAGGGGAGGTGAAAGGTGAGTAGAATGTGGGGAATTAATTTTAACCCTGGCTCTGGGCCCCCTGTGAGGCTCAGCTGAATAGGATTGTTCACGATTCACTCGTCACTGCGAGTGGGTGGCCATTGTACCACCAGGACTTTCAGGGTCCTGGTCATGGTACCCTACGAACTTGTCAGGTGAAAGCCAGCCCTTTGAGAAAGGAAGAATGATAAGGAGTTCCAAATGCATAGGACCCCTATTTTCCCACCCAAGAGCTTGTTAAGAAGAACTAGACCTCATAGATTTTTCCCTTTGATATTGTATATCAAGTCAATTGAGGTACTCTTGACTGAAATTCTTATCATCGTTTTCCTAGTCAGTTTTCTTTGAATTTCCTGAAATACCTGAGACAATTAACTAACACAGAGAAAAACAGTGAACTAACACAAAGAAAAAAAGCGTGCTTAAGCTTATGCATCAGGAGGTTGGTATTCAACATCTGAAGCAGTTAACTTTACCAACTTGTAAGAGAGGAAAATTTGCTTTGGTTCACAATTCTGGGATTTTCAGTCCAAGATTGAGCAGACTCATTTGTTTCTGAGTCTCTGGTGAACGTACACATAGTGGAAGAAATTTCACCTCATTTTTCCGAAAACAGAGAAGATACACATTGGTCTAAGACCCTCCCAAAAAGACACACTGATGATAAATAAGTATACAGCTGCTTCTAATGATGCCATCCAGGAAACCAAGTCTTTAGCATGTAGACCTTTGGAAAGGCATTCATCTAAAGCATGGAAAATTCTGAGAGGCTAAACAACTTGCCCAGTGTCTCAATAGCACGAGGACAGACTCAAGATTCCTACCTGATCCTCATACAGCACCACCTCAAACATCCTGTCCATTGTGCTATTTCTGAGTTCTTATTTTATTGATAACTTCACTGTCTTGGTGATGAATAAATAAAACATTCCCTGAAACAGAAATCCATGCCTGGAGCAGGTTCAGTAGTAATGTTTCTGAACCTTGGTACTATTCACATTCTGGGCTAAGTGATTCTGCCATGCATTATAGCTGGTGCAGTGGTATGCTCTCGGGAGCATCGTAAGATATTGAATAGCATCTGTGATTTCTGCCCGCTGTGAGCAAGTAGCAGGTTTCCACCATGTCTTCACTTCAGAGTAAAACCATCAATGACAAAAAAATCATTAAATTAATAATAGTGCCTTAAAATTTATTTCCATTACTTGCCA